TGCCGCTAATCCCATCTCATCAATATCACAGAGACAGGATTTACAACACATAGGAAAATCACATCAGATCACAAAATGTTGGACAATCACACAATACTGGGAATCATGACCTAGCCAAAATTGATACACATATTTTTGGGGGACACAATTCAATCCATGACACCAATAGAATTCAATTGCATATAAAAAAAATAATAAATCATGACCAACTGGGAATCATACCAGGCATGCAGGGATGGTTCAACATTAGGAAATCGATCAATGTAATCCACCACATAAATAAAACAAAGGAAAAAAAAACTATATGATCTTATCAATCAACGAACTAAAGGCATTTAACAAAGTTCAAAACATATTTCTGATAACAACTCTCAGCAAAATAGGAATAGAAGGGAAATTCCTTGACATAATAAAGGGCATTTATACAATACCAACAGCCAACATCATTCTAAACAGAGAGAGACTGAAAGCATTCCCGTTGATAATGGGAACCAGACAAGGATGCCCTTTATCACTACTCTTATTCAACACTGTGCTGGAAGTTCTAGCTAGAGCAATAAGGCAAGAAAAAGAAATAAAGGCATCCAAATTGGTAAGGAAGAGGTAAAACCATCTGTATTCGCAAATGATATGATCTTATACAAAGAAAACACCAAGGAATCGACAAGAAAGCTACTGGAACTAAGAGAAGATTTTAGCAATGAAGCAGGATACAAGATTAACATACAAATATCAGTTGGATTCCTCTACACCAACAAGGAAAACTTTGAAAAGGAAATCAACAAATCAATACCATTTACAATAGCCCCCAAGAAGATAAAGTACTTAGGAATAAATCTAACCAGGGATGTAAAAGACCTATTTAAAAAAAAAAACTACAAAACACTACTGCAAGAAACCAAAAGAGGCCTACATACGAGGAAAAACATACCATGTTCATGGATAGAAAGACTCAACATTATGAAAATATCAATTCTACTGAAAGCCATCTACAGATACAGCGCAATCCCAATGCAAATTCAAACAGCATTTTAAAATTTTTTTTATTATACTTCAGGTGAAGGCTTACAGAACAAATAGTTTCTCATGAAACAGTAGTACACATATTGTTTTATGACATTGGTTAACAACCCCATGACAC